ATAACTCCAAACGTTTAGAGTTTATGAAAAATCAATTCTATAGGGATTGTAGAATAGACAACTGTGCACACTATATGTAAATATGGTGAGAATCGGTTACAAACTAGATTTTTGGATACTGAAGTTGAAATTCTAGTTGTAGATATAATTGAAGTTATCGACAATGAATAAGGCAGTTCTAATTCATGAATTTACTTGTATGTTGTAATAAACATCGTTTGGCATTCGTACTCAAGTATGTGAAAGTTGTAGGTCAATATGTGTAGAAAATGAAGTCAAGAAAAAATACCCCCCCACAAAAAAAAAAAAATATAGGGATAATTATAATAATTATAACGATTTAGGGAATATATTTAGGGTATACTTTATATAAGTAAAAAAGCCCAAATCTGGTCCCTAATCATCAAAACAACCTAAAGAAACAAGGAAAATAGAGTTTGAAATCTGTGAAAAAATCAGCTAAAAAATATGCCAAGTCCGAAGTTCTGAGAGTTGTAACTAATTTATTTGTTGACCAATTTAATTCTGGCTTCACATAGTTAGGGAAGAGTATGCATTCTCCAGGATGTAAAGGTTAAAACAAATTCAAATAATAAACAAAGGAGAAAAAAAAAAAAAACCCTAAATTTTTTTTTATATTGTATTTATATGATATATAACATAATTACTCTTTATTATTTGTGTTATTATGTATTACTCACCAATGCTATAAAGGCACCAACTGTATATCCACTTTGTGGACACTTCTTACTACTATTCTTCTTTATGCGTGGGACAGGTGCTTGCATCTCTTTATTATTGCATTATCCATCAGTTCCAGTTAATAGGAGCTGTTCTCTTTATCAACAAAACATTTTTTTTTTTTTTTTTTTTTTAAATATTTGTCTAAAATCAATTTCTGAAAATATTTTAATGAAAGTTTAACAAAGCTGAAGCCAATAAGGTGGAGATTTGTTTAAAATTTTTAAGTAATTTCTACGTAATTCGAATATTTTTTGAATTATACCCCCCTACAATGTCACACATCATATAACGTTTTGTGCAGTTTAAGGGTTAAGGGAAAATTAAGATACTAACTTTTTTTTTTTTTTTTTTTTTTTGCAATTTTGAAATAAAGAATTATGTAACGATGTACATTCACCCACTATTAGATGGTTTGATGTCGAATAAAATCACCTAATGTCAAATGGTGTTTGAGAGGGAACAGTGGGAAAGTACTGTTAAATTCAATGTGAATTTTTGACAACATACATCCACTGTTAAATGTAATTAAACACCACTTGCTGGTGGGCCCCTTAATGACGTCTTGTTTCGGAAGCCACCAAAGGGGCTCCTCCTCTCTCTCTCTCTCTCTCAAAAAAAAAAAAAAAAAAAAAAAGAGCTTCAAGTGTATCAGCATCAATGACAGCATAATTAAGATTTAACAAAGTACAATGATTAGCAACACCACTAACATCTAAATATCAGTATAGTCTGTGTGAAACTAAACCCATGTTACAGTACTAAACTATAGCTTACAGGATGTCAACAAAAATTTCAACAAAATACAAAATGACAACACTATCATTATTATTACATTTATATTTAAAAAATGAACATGTCTCCATCTCTCCTGTACAAACGCATTCACATGGGTCCTGTAGTAGAGTAGTCTATGTCTTTGAATCACAACTGAGGGACCTGGTGCTTTACCTGCTGGTAATGTATCAAATGAATTTGGAGTAGAAAGATGCAAGATTACCATTGTAAAAATAATTTATCTGAAAATTTCATGAACTTGTATGTAATCAGCATAGTGTCCAAATATAGGATGATCATGAACTGGTTGTAACAGATTAATGATCGTCCCCCAGTTCTAGACCAGATAAAAGACACCCAATGCCATGACCTTACAATCAGGGAACAAAGCCATAAACAAAGGAAGCTGATGAGTCTGTGCTGTAGCAGTTGAATTAGAGGTCTACTTGCGAGCAGCTGAACAACTCGCATACCCAGCAAAAGGTGGCCCTGTTCATTCTTAATTCATCAAAATAAGATGGAAGCACGAGAGGCCATCTGCACACATGTTCAACACACCTCAAATATGGACCACATTGAAGAAAAGGACCCCAAAAAAAGGACTGAGAGCCCAACTGAAGTCAAGTATTAAATGTGTTTGGTGGTCAGGTATAAAATGTACATGGCGAGGGAGCAAGGCACTTCACTTGAGCTCCACTCAAGGTTCCCAAGGCCTTGCGCACGGCTATGTGGTGGTGCATGCAAGATGATATACAGAGCCAGCATACTTTCCTCTGAGCCCTGTGAGCATGAAGAAAGTGACAAACCATTAGTAAAGGAAGCCCTCAGGCACATCCCAATGAAATATGACAAACAATAAGGGTATTGAAGGCTCCATCATCTAAATCAAAACCTTTGATGGCACCCCAGGCAACATACCGCCTGTTGGTGCCTGTGGACTCTCAACCCAAAGCTGTACCAACAGAGATGACTGGGAAGCTACATGAACAAAGGCAAGCAGAACTGGCCTCTCAACGACCGAAGCAGAGTCTGCAGGGAAGACCTTTGTTTATTTTGTACTGTACCAGTGGCCAAAACAACACAATCAATATCCTCCTCATAAAACACTGGTAGAGCTGTAGCACCAAATTCACAGTATAGTATCACAATCGTATAAGCAGGAGCTTGATAAAGCTAGGGAATATTATTATTATTATTATTATACCTAATTGCTCATACTTTGTTTCTTGTGATAACTATCTTTCCCTAGCTTTTAAAATGCCTCTAAGTGTTGAAGACGTGAAAATACACCTAAATTCTGTATTTGCAAACAATTTGTTTCCTGATATAGCTAATGCACAAGTGAAACATTTGCGACTTGCCTGCATCAAGAAACAAGATCTATGAAAAGAACAAGGATTGCCTTAAGAGGCATATACTGCACAGTATAACCTAAACAAAATCCTGTCTATATCATTCCAGGCCAATTCAAAGTTTCACAACTCCACAATTTTATTATTTTTTGTAAACTTTGTTAGGGTTTTTATTAAATGTAAATGATGAGTAAATATCTGTGCATATTTACACAATCAAATAACATACAGTACAGTATAAACAAGGAAATTTATAGAACAAATATGCACTGTAATATTTTTTCATGTACTTATTATTATTATTCACGGAGAATAACATTTATTCTTAGAAACTATCTGATGTAACTCATCGAGATTTGAGTAACAGAGCAATGATCAGGGTCACACCATGTTGTACAAGCATAAACAAAATATTTATCAGTACAGTATACTGTACAGAGATATTTTACTACTGTATTGTAATTTAACAAGTGGGAAGAAAGAAGGAAAGGAGCAAGCAAAAAAGGGCAAATAACATGAGAAAAAATAAGTAGATTAAGAAATCAATATTGAGTGAAGCATAACATTGAGGTAAAGTGGATGCAGTGCTTGTGTTTGAGTGTAGCCAAGAATAAGACAACCATCCTGGGATACAGGGCTAACACACTCAAACAGCTGTGACCACAGCTCTGCTGAAGTTCTCAATAAGAAACACAATTTTTCTGCTCTTAAGGTCATTTCTCTAAAGATATAGCTGAGTTAACACCAGAAAGGTACTTAAAAATATTCCTAAACATTTGCCAAGTTCTATTTGCACATAAAAATTTATATACTAATTTCCTTGTCCCATTATTGCTCACCAGTACTTTCATTAAACATTTCACTTGTGATCATCTCAGTCATACCTGTGCTCCTGCACCAAAACCTGAAAACTTTTATTGTAAATTCTAAATGCTCACCAAGAACACACTCATAATAATTTGTTTAACTGCAAAAGGTAATCTTTATTGTTTCTAATTTTGGATGACATTCTAAGACGGAATTTTCTTAGCAATACTGATACATGCACAGAGCATCCATAAATGTTGACACAGTGAAATATTTCAATTAACAATTTACTTTGTATGACACAAAATGTACTGCCATGCAGCAATAAGAATCAAGCAGGAATTCATTTTGTAATCTCGTCTAAATTCCACACAGCATGATATGCAAGTGACCTATATAATGCCACTGCCTCAGATATCTGGATATCCTTTATCCAGAATATTAATGCTCTAAAAGTTTAGAAATAATTACATAACATAGCTTGTCACAGTTATAACGACAAATGCCTCCACATCAGTACAGTACAAGTACTGATATACATCAACTATTGCATCTTTTAAACAGCATAAACCATGTGATACTTACTTTAAAGATATAAAGTCCTGGATAATAATGATGATGAACAATATCCTCCATTTATAACGAGTGTGCATGAGTGTGCCTGTGAAGACGTAGGGCTGAATGTGGGCTTATGCATAACACGTGAGTAAATACAAGTGCGTTTGCATGCGACTAGAAAATGGAACACTTAAAAATTACTACGCCTAAGCAAAAACATAATTAAACCATTTAACTACTCTGAGTAAGCATCTTTTGTAATTAAGGCTATGTTCCACATGAACAAATTACACAAACTGTCAAGCAGGGTGTATTGCATATTAATAATTGGAGGATGTACACAACAAATGACTTACTCAGTGTAGAAACACATTCTTGTTAAAATGTGTAGAGTATTTGTAAACAAACACTAAGGTAAGAAACCACAATCAAATATTTCTAGGTTTTAGAAAAATAAGACCAATTTAGAATATGCCAGTTTAAAATAATCACAAATTATAGAAGACTGTTGAGGTTACAAGACAAGTGCAAGTTTACCTTACAACACCACTACAGGGACTATGAAACGACTAACAAAAGGATGGAAGTCTGAGTTGCCCTTCTGGTTTAATAAAAAAAAAAGGAAGCCCATAGTGTCTTTATAAATTATATAAACTAGTTTTTTAGCTACAGTACTAGCTGTATACTGTACTAGAATACCTGTGCATGGCAAGTCTACTGTAAGATCTAATTAGCTAAGTAACACAGAATGAAAGAGGTACATACTGACATCGCAGAGAAAGTTAACCTTTGTGCCATCTGGAGTTATTCTATACGGCACCGAAATTTTTCTTCTTTTTCTCTTGACAGGGCTCAAGTTTAAGGCTGTTAAAGACTCTGATGTTGATTCTACACACTCCATTTTGGATTTAATGGCAGTCATTTTAGCTGAATCAACAGAAAGGCTCTTTTCAAGAGGTGGTTTAGCTTTAATAACACTGTCTCTTGTCTCTTCATCACAAGAGTCAACATTAAATTTAGAAGTGGACGGGATAGGATCAGCTGGACTGTTCAAGACCTCTGAATTGTTTAAGACATCACAAGAACCAGAATAGTCTACTGGGGTACTAAATGACTTTGCTTGTGAAGAGTTAACTCTATGGGCACCACCTGGTTTCTTATTGCGAGACTTTAGTGGGCTTGTGGGAGATAATTCTGATTCAGTTTGAGGGGAACAAGGTACATCACTTGACTGATTTGCTTTAGATATCTGATCTTGAATGCTTCTACTGATAAAAGAGGTTTCATTAATTGTATCACATCCTAGATCAGTTCTCAATTTTGACTCAATTAGCACAAAGACCTCCTCTTTAGGCGTGTCCTCAGCTACTTCTTTATCCTGCCCCCCAGAGTCAAACACCACAGGCACATCAGATTTTGCAATTGTATCTGTGTGTGTTGCTGCACTATCATCATCTGGCACAATGATTTCTGATTCGCTAAAAGAAGTTTTGTTTTGTACATCAGCTATAGCCTGACTACTGAAAGGTTTCTTTGTTAAGTTGGGTGATTCTGAGTGAGAACAGGACAGGAGGGGACTGCCCTCATGAGGAGACTCAGGGGTGGGAGGACGACACAAGGACGGCTCGAGGGGTGGGGAATCACACACAGGCATTAGACCAGGCAAGTCTAAGCTCTGAATGGACTTTTTGCTAGCTTCTACTTGGGGGCCAGACCCCACTGGCTGGTCCCCATGGAAATGGCGGCATTTGGCACACTGCACTTCCTGTGGCATTTCCTCCTCTTCTCGAATTGTGTTGCATGCTACCACTGAACAACATCTACCACTACACACCGCTAGAAAGAAAAAAGAAAAAAACATAAATCAAATGCAGATTGAAACACTTCCCAAAAACATAGCAATAGCATAACTGGCATAACAGGCAAACGTCAAGCTAGGTGCACATACATAACAGGGCCAGAGGCCATGACATCCACAAAGGAGAGAGAGTGCTGCATCTGACAGGAAATAGAGAGAAGGCTTGATATACACAAAGCTACAAGCATTGGATACTTTACCACCGGCAAATGTGATACATGACAAGTGTCATCTTGATCACTCACCTTCTGATGTCCTCAAAAATCATTCTGACAACCTTCCATTAACTTTTTATTACACAAAAATATTCTCAAGCATAAAATTTTACACAATTGTCACTTGTGTACATTTTCAAAGCTAATTAAACAGACATCCTGTACACTACAGTATCTCCATCCTTTAGTGGAGCAGCAACCCCAATGCAAAAAGGGGTGAGCTGAATCTGGGTTCTTAGCTTGACAAGGAATAAAATTTATGCATTCCATAGACAATGTTTCCCCCTGCCATTCTCATCACACAAATTATCTTATATGTTAAGGAAGAGGGCAAATAAGTGTGTAGTGGGCCCAAAAGTGAACAAAGTTGCCCACCTCCCAATCTCGGTAGAGTGGTGCTTCCCTGGCAAGCAAAGTTAATGAGTCTGGGGCTCCACACACCAAAGACAGCTTCCCATACCATAACAAATAATACCTTACTAACCTGCCTAGTCAAAGACACAAGCCTTCATTTCACTTGTTGATAGACAATTATTGTTTTAGAGTAAGAAATCACTACAAAGAAAGTAAGTATATTATAACTTTACAAAAATATGCAATACAGTACTATCTACTATGCTTATAAGAAATGAAGATCCAGTATATTCATTAATTATATACACCTAGACCATAACACAAAAACACACACACCCCACACACAGCCGTTGTGACGAACAGTTACATTTCCACAAGTTCCAGGCAAAGATCAACCAAAGAATTACCTAACAGTATAACAAAATGTTTTGACAGTACATCAAGTGGTTCCCCGCTAAAAGAATCAATGCAACAAAGAAACAAACTGGGTAAAAGGCTACAAGCACAAAAAAAGAAAGGATATTTGTGTAAACTGTTAAGGAACTACTACATCATTCAATGATTTGTTTATGGTGGACAAGGCAGCACAGGCAAGGGGCATTTCAGTGTTCTCAGGTAAACACTGGCTGGTTGTGAGGTTACAGGAGGACAAAGAAGCAAAAAGGCAGAGAAATGAGACTGAATTTTAAGAGTTTTTATGGTAGAATTATCATGCTGGACAAAACAATAGGATTCTTTAACAATGTAATTAAGACTACAAGGTAGAGAGAATATAGCAGGCCAATATATTAGCACTAAACAGTTAATGCACTAAACAGTTAATGCATAAAACTCAAGGGCTTACATATAAACTGCATTAAATCACAATAGAAGAGATTCTAGACGGCACAAAAGCTTGAGCAGAAAAGAAAAAGGCAGAACACAGGTAAGCAAATAAAAGAAGTGACTGAAGAACTGGAGTAATTCAAGTATGAAGTGGAAAAGTAGTTATGGACAAGTGACAAGCAGATGGTATTAGAGGCCAAAGAAATTAACAAAAAATATTGACATTAGAAATTAAGTTAAAAAAGCATAGGTAGCAATCCAAAATCGCCAAAGATAAAACCAACACAGATTGCAATAAAATGCCTCTTTCTGGATGAGCCCTTGTAGCTCTGTGAAGCTATCTTGTTGAGTAGGCATCCAACTACAGTACTAAGTCACACCAGCCTTGGAGTTTTGTTTGGACTACCAGGGACCAGGGCTAGAACCTGGTCCCCCCCTCACAGAGGTACAGTGAGTGGGTGACACTTTGCCATCACTCTGGGAAAGCATCCAGAAAGTTAGTGAACCAATACAGACCACTGCTGGGTTCAAATACACAGAAGCCTCAAAATTTCCATGTAAACTCTCCAAACAATGTAAACAAATGATTGAATATCTTGAAATTAATGCTCATTAGCATTACCCCCCCTCCCCCTCCAGTAGGGATGGGTGCAGAACTGTAGGTCTTTGCCAGCTTTCCAAGTCAGTTTTAGAGTAGATGTGAAGAATACATACACTGACCAACAAAACTGGGATGGAGGGGAGGAAGGGAACGGAATCAGGGAGCCATCAAGGCTCAACTAGAAAGAAGCATTTTGTTACATTCAGTGCTAGCTTTCTGGGTGAGCCCCTTCTGGCTCCCTGAAACTAACTATCCATTAAGAAGAAACACAAAGGACTTAGCAGGGAGGAGAAGGAGAGACCACAGGTATTCAAGACAAAGACGAGACAATTGGCCAAGAGAGATGGCCCCGGGCAACACAGGCATGGCAAGGGCCAGGAAGGCTGCCAAGACCCTATTAGACCATCAAAAGACCACCAAAAGCCCCGTTCACGAGTATCAGTCCAAGACAAGTTAGCAAAAACTACTGCAAGAGTGGAACATTTATGAACTTCATGGGCATGAAGGTAGACCACAGGCTGGCTGAACTTGATGACACTGTGGACAACCACAGAAACCTGAACCATGTTAGAGGGAACCAGGGAAGAAGGATCAACGCAAAGCGTCTACCGAGGCAGAATCGGTGGCACGAAGGTAATGTCAAAAAGATGCCACCAGACACAGCACATGATGCAACCCCTGGCCAAAAACAACCAAGCATCAATAAGCAAAGAACCCATCCAGAGTGCCCAATGACTCTTTCTTTGCAAGAAGAGGAGGAGATGGCTGCAAACAAACATAATGCCTCCAGGATCAAAAGAACAAAAGCCCCACCTCTAGAGAAAAGCATGCAGCTCCCTGAACTGTACAATAAAAGGTGGGCACCAACAGAAAAACTACCTCAAAGAATCATGGATGAAGGGGAAAACATAAACCAAGGGGAAGAAAGATGAGGGCATGAGCAGGTCAGAGGTGAAATAATGTGCTAGAAATGGCACTGAGATCGTATTGATGCCGAGCGCAAGCAGATGCTCCACCACTGACAAACAATAAAGGCAACAGTATTAAGCATAAGATGCCAGTCAATAAACAACCAAGAGAGAAACGAAAGGACAACACTAACAGAGACAGAAAAATGATGAAGGGACGGGAAGTGGCAAAAATAGCCCCCAAGCTACTACATACAGTACTGCTGCCAAGAAGAAACACACAGGCAGGATACCATTAATTCAATCACCTGCTTGGCATAGAGTTGACAATAAAGACTCATCAGAAAGACCAGACACAAAGAGCTGAGTAAAACGTTAAACTATCTAGGTACATCACCTGACCGATTGTCAAAATGAGGTGGAGGTGTGAAGAAACCAGCGTTGGATGTAAGAAACGCCATTTTCTGGGTGAGACCCAAAGGCTCCCCGAAGCTATTCAGGCTTATATGCTAATGTCAGACTTTGGCATCAGTCATGTGTATGGAGTTCTGTGGACCTAGCGGGGACCACGAGCCAGAACCTGGCCCCCTCAGAGAGGCATGGAGAACAATGGCCTATAGAAACCCTCATGTGGTTGGAAGCATTCTATGTCTGCCATCGACCAGGTCAGGCACCCAGAAAGTTAAGCGTCTGCAAAAAAAAATTATTCTGGTGAAAATTGCTACAAAGAGCTGAACAAGTGGATAGAACTCCCCAAAAAAGAAACAAGCAAACGAGCATGACGTCAAACGTCGCCGCGCCACTGTCTGTGCAGCTCCCCCCTCCCCGGGAGGGGGAAGAGGGAGCCCCAGACCACCATGAGGCCATCCACCCATTAGTTTTGAGGCTGGACATCAAAACACGCGAAAAACCGCCAACCGGGTGGGGGGGGGGGGGGGCGGAGGGATGTCGAGAAGCCTCCGGGTCTCACCCAGAAAATGGCATTTCATTACATTCAATGCTGGTTTTCTGGGGGTAACCCTTCGGTTCCCCGGAGCCAACTACCCACAAAGGAAAAATATAGGGACTTACCTGGGAGGTGGTCACTGCTCCTTTTTCAACCCCAACCCGAAGTTGAGACAATTGGTTGCAACCGCCAACCCAAAGTGACACAGGCCCGACTAGACCCAGGAATGTTCACGAAGTAGCGAGCAGCCAAGACCCTGTTCGGCCGCCAAAAACCCCGCGCCCTAATGTCAGCCCAAGATATGTTGCCAAAGACAGATGCAAGAGCAGCGAACTTACGAACGTCATGGGCACGGGGATAGACAGCAGGCTGGCTAGCCTTAATAACCTTGCAGACAACCTGGGAGACCTGCCCCCGCGAACAGGGAAGGAGGGAAACCGGATCAACCCAAAACGCATCCCTGGACACAGAAGCCGGATCAACCCAAAACGCATCCCCGGACACAGAAGCCGGATCAACCCAAAATGCATCCCCGGACACAGAAGCCGGATCAACCCAAAACGCATCCCCGGACACAGAAGCCGTGGCGCATAAATAACGATGGTAGGGCCACAACCGGACACAAAATATGATGCACCCGCTGCCTGACCAACCAAGCATCAACAACCCAAGGACCCCTCCAGAAAGCAGCCATCTCATTCTTCGCCAGAAAAGAAGGAGACGGCGGCAAATGAACAAACCGATCACCATGACCGAAAGAGCAGAAACCTCTGCGCCAGAGAGCATAAAGTTCCCCGACCCGACCCCCAAAGGCCAATGCCAAAAGGAAAACCGCCTTCGAAAAACAATCCTGAACTGAAGGGGCCACAACAAACCAAGGAGAAGAGAGAAAGGAGAGCACCCCGTCCAATGACCAGGACAGCTCAAGGTGGTGCATGAGCAGGCCGGAGGCAAAACAACGCACGAGACAACTTGCGAAATGGTGCAGAAGTAACATCAATACTGAAAGCAAACTGAAGCGGCTCCGCCAGCGCTGCATGATACGAGGCGACAGTATTCGGCACAAGATGACAGTCCTGGAACAATCAAGAGAGAAAGGACAACACCACCCGAACCGGAAGAGAAGCAC